ATTACTCTTTTCCAGAAAAAATGACAAGAAGTGTTATTGCTCAGAAACAAGTCCTAAAATGAACTCGTTGAAATAAGTTCTGAAGTCCACATAGTTCAGAAACTGGTCTTCGATCCAGTTCTTAGATAACTTCTGGATGTTTCTGCCAACTTCGGAACATCAATCTACCCTTGGCAGCTATAAATTTTGACATTTAAATATAGATGAAGTGTTTCTGATAAACAAAAAACTCGACCTTTGAATTGAGATGTGTAATGAGCGTACAATACACAGTAGATTCTGAAGATTTAGTAAAAAGGGAGGGGGGGGAGGACCCAGTGGCTTAAACTCAAAGGGATTGCAGCATGGCCCCCAGTAAGGGGGCTGGCAGGTAGTGTGGTGGTTAAGGTACTGGACTCCTACATGGCTGACCAAGGGGTCAAATCCCAGACCTGGCAGCTTGCTTTCTCACTTTCCCTTTCTCTCTCTCTGGTCAAATTAAAAAATAATGATAACAAATAAGATAAAATAAATACATTTAAAAAAAACAAAGGTAGTGTAGGCCACCAGGTGGGTGGCAGTTAAGGTGCTGGACTTCCACATAGCTGACTGTGTTTTTTTGATTGTTTTTAAAGAATTATTTAATTTCATTCATTAATTTCTGTATTTTAATTATTTTTTTTTTTGGAGAGGTTTTTCGTTATAGGGCGTGTGCGCTCCCCAGACAGACAGAGAGAGACAGAGACAGAAGGCAAGAAATCACTCCCCAGGGGGGATGGTCACACCGCAATCCCTTCTCCTCCATTCTCCTCTCGGGATCTTGGGCACACACGCAGACGCGCCCGGCGTGAGTTTTAAGCCACCGGGTCCGGGACTCGGACTGAGGTCGACTACGTGGGAGTCCAGCGACATAGCCATTACGCTAACTGCTGGTTCCCTATTTCTGTATTTTAATTTTGACCAAAGAGAGACACAGAAAGAGAGAGAGAGAAAGGAAAAGTGAGAAAGCAAGCCACCAGGTCCGGGACTTGAAACGTGGCTGGCCATGTGGGAGTGTCCAGCACCTTAGCTGTCTGTGGTTTGAGTCCCGGACCTGACAGCTTGCTTTCTCATTTTCCCCCCCTCGGTCTCTCTCTCTGGTGAGTGCATGTGCCCTATAGTAAATTTTAAAAATCATATTAATAGGGACCAGCAGATGGAATAATGGTTATGTTGCTGGACTCCCACGTAGTTGACTGTGTTTGAGTCCCGGACCTGGAGACTTAAAACACGCTGGGTATGTGTGCATGCCCAAGATCCAGAAAGGAGAGTGGAGGAGAAAGGATTGTGGTATGGCCATTCTCCCTAGGGGGGTGTGATTTCTCCACTTTCTGTCTCTCTCTGTCTCTCTGTCTCTCTGGTGAGCGCACATTGCCCTATAGCAAAAACCTCTCAAAAAAAAAAAAAAAAATCTAGAGCCACCGGGTGGCATGGAGGTTAAGGAGACTGGATCCCCCATGGCTAACTGTGCAGTTAGAGTCCCAGATCTGGAAGCTTGAGAAACACGCATGGCCCATGTGCATGAGTGCCCCAAATCCCAAGGAGCATGGAGAAAAAGGGATTGTGGCATGTAAAATATCTCCACAAATTGTTTTAAATACTAATTACATGTTGAGGGACCAGCAGTTGGCATAATGGCTATGTCGCTGGACTCCCACGTAGTAGACCACGGTTCATGTTCCAGACCCGGCGGCCATAAAACTCACACCGGGCGCGTGTGCACACGTGCCCAAGATCCCGAGAGGAGAATGGAGGAGAAGGGATTGCGGCATGGCCATCCCCCCTGGGGGGTGATTTCTCGCTTTCTGTCTCTCTGTCTCTCTGTCTCTCTGTCTCTCTGTCTCTCTGTCTCTCTGTCTCTCTGTCTCTCTGTCTCTCTGTCTCTCTGTCTCTCTGTCTCTCTGTCTCTCTGTCTCTCTGTCTCTCTGTCTCTCTGTCTCTCTGTCTCTCTGTCTCTCTGTCTCTCTGTCTCTCTGTCTCTCTGTCTCTCTGTCTCTCTGTCTCTCTGTCTCTCTGTCTCTCTGTCTCTCTGTCTCTCTGTCTCTCTGTCTCTCTGTCTCTCTGTCTCTCTGTCTCTCTGTCTCTCTGTCTCTCTGTCTCTCTCTGTCTGGCGAGCGCACGTGCCCTATAGCAAAAACCTCTTCAAAAAAACAAAAAACTAATTACATGTTGAAATGACAGCATTTGGGGGTACGTCAGGTGAAATAAAATTCTTGGGCCAGCCCCCTCTCCTGATGGCCAAGGGAGCCAGATCCCACATGGCTGAGCACAGTTCATATCGCAGCCCCAGGAGCGTGAAAAACATGGAAGGCACAGGTGAGTGTGCTCGAAACTCCACAGGAAGTAGAGATGGAGAGGGGATCGCAGCCTGACTGGGTTCTGCTGTGGATGCTTTTTCCAGCTTTCTCTCTCTTTCTCTAGCAAGTGCACACACCCTCTAATAATTTATTTTTAAAGTAAGTAATGAAACAGTACTATGAAATGAACTCGTATTTTGAAAAAAAATTTTGTTTTTTTGGAGAGGTTTTTACTATAGGGCATGTGCGCTCACCAGAAAGACAGAGAGAGGCAGAGAGACAGAAAGTGAGAACGGGGGATGGCCACGCTGCAATCCCTTTGAGTTTAAGCCACCAGGTCCAGGATTCGAACCACAGTCGACTATATGGGTAGTCCAGCGACATAGCCATTAGGCCAACTGCTATCTTTCTGGTGAGTGTACGCATCCTATAGCAGAAACCTCTCCAAAAAAAAAATTATTTAACTTTATTTATCTATTTTAATTTGACCAGAGATGGACAGAGAGAGAGAAAAAACCAGGCCCGGGACTTGCTTGCTTTCCATGGTTGGTCATGTGGGAGGTCCAATGCCTTTAACCAGCACGCCCCCTGCTGGCCCCGAAAAAATATTTTTAAATTTATTATTTGAACTTCATTATTTGAAATTTATTATTTTAAACTTACTGTTTGAATTTACCTCTTTATTTTTCTTTTTTACTTTTTAAATAATTAATTGTGGGGGAGACCCGCAGTTAGTGTAATGGCTATGTCACTGGACTGTGTGGTTCACATCCTGGACCCGGTGGCTTAAAACTCACGCTGGGTCCGTGTGCGTGCATGCCCAAGATCCCGAGAGGAGAATGGAGGAGAAGGGATTGTGGCGTGGGCATCCCCCCTGGGAGATGATTTCTCACTTTCTGTCTCTCTGTCTCTCTCTGTCTGTCTGGCAAGCGTATGCGCCCTATAGCAAAACCCTCCGAAAAAAAAAAAGAATTATTTGTGGGGACAAGCAGTTGGCATAATGGTTATGTCGCTGGACTCCCATGTAGTCAATTGTGGTTCGAGTCTCGGACCCAGTGGCTTAAACTCATGCTGGGCACTTGTGCATGCGTGCCCAAGAGGAGAATGGAGGAGAAGGGATTGCGGTGTGGCCATCCTCCCTTGGGGCTGATTTCTTGCTTTCTATCTCTCTGTCTCTCTCTGTCTTTCTGGCGAGCACACGCACCCTATAGCAAAAACCTCTCAGAAAGAAAAAAAAAAAAGAATTATTTATGGAGGGGGCCATCAAGTGGAGTGGTGGTTAAAGTGCTGGACCATCACATGGTCATCCGTAGTTTGAGTCTCAGACTGGGTGACTTGCTTTCTTACTTTCCCTCTCATTCTCTCTGCCTCTCCCTGGTGAGCATATGTATCCTAGACAATATTAAACAATAATGATAATAATAATAAATAAAATTTTTAAAAAGAATTATTTATGGAGGGGGCCATCAAGTGGAGTGGTGGTTAAAGTGCTGGACCATCACATGGTCATCCGTAGTTTGAGTCTCAGACTGGGTGGCTTGCTTTCTCACTTTCCCTCTCTCTGGTCAAATGAAACTAAATGAATGAATAATAAAATTAAGTAAATAATTCTTAAGAATGATTGGGCCAGTAAGCGGCGTGGTGGTTAAGGTGGTGGACTCTCACGTGGCCAACTGCTGTTCGAGTCCCAGACCTGAAACTTGCTTTCTCACTCTCCCTCTCTCTCTGTCTTTCTCCAGCAAAACTCATGTAAAAAAAAATTATAAATTAAAAAATAAAGTAACACTTTTTTTATAATTATTTATTTAATTTTATTTATTCATTCACTTAGTTTAATTTGACCATACAGACACACACAGAGAGAGAGAGGGAAAGTGAGAAAGCAAGCCACAAATCCTGGGACTCAAACTGTGCTTGGCCATGTGGAAGTGTCCAGCGCCTTAACCACCATACCACCTGCTGGTCCCCTGATAATTCTTTTAAAAAATAATTATTTAATTGTATTCATTATTATTATGTTTAAAATTTGTAACAGGGCACATACACTCATGAAAGAGAAACAGACAGTGGGACCAGCAGTTAGCGTAATGGCTATGTCGCTGGATTCCCACGTAGTCGACCGCGGTTCGCGTCCCAGACCCGGTGGCTTAAACTCATGCTGGGCGCGTGTGCGTGCGTGCCCAAGATCCCAAGAGGAGAATGGAGGAGAAGGGATTGCAGTGTGGCCATCCCCCCTGGGGGTGATTTCTCATTTTCTATCTCTCTGTCTCTTGTCTGGCGAGTGCACGTGCCCTATAGCAAAAACCTCTCCAAAAAAAAAGAGAGAGAGAGAGACAGACAGACAGACAACAAGCTGTCAGGTCTGGTACTCAAACCACATTGACCACGTGGGAGTCCATTGCCCCAATCACCATGCCACCTGCTGGACCCCCACAGTAAAAACTGTGGCTTCTGGGAACTTGAAGATCACACCTGGGGCTTCCTCTCTGCCCCGCTGGCCAGCCGTGCTTAATGGCTTTTCTTGTCACTTGCCTTCACAACAGCCTGTGGGGGGAGTCTCTTACTAGGGCCTTGTGTGCAGGTAGGGAGAGTGAGGCGGCGTGAAGGGCACCAACAGTTAGGTGGTGCACACACAGCAAGGCTGCATTTTCTTTCATCATTAAAAACAGGTTTCTAGGATTATTGATCTTTTTAAAGATAAAGTGTGTGCACTTGCTGGAGAGACAGAGACAAAAAGTGAGAAATCACCTCCCAGGGGGAACGGCCATGCCACAATTCCTTTTCCTCCATTCTCCTCTCAGGATTTTGGGCACGCACGCACACATGCTTGGTCTGAGCATCAAGCTGCTGGGTCTGGGACTCGAACTGTGGTTGGCCATGTGGGAGTCCAGTGATGCGACTAATATGCCATCTGCTAGCTAGTCCCTCTTCTTGTGTATTTTCAAAGGTTTTTGCCCTAGAGTGTGTGCAGTCCTGGAGAGGAAGAGGCAAAGGGAAAGTGAGAAATTACCCCCTGGGGGAAAGCCTTCTCCTCCATCCTCCTCTCAGGATTTGGGGCACGCACACACACGTGCCCAGCGTGAGTGTCAAGCCACCAGGTCTGGGACTCAAACTGTGGTCAGTCATGTAGCAATCCAGTCACCTTAACCCACACCCCCTGCTCCTCGCTCCATTTTAGAAGTTGCTAGAGGGTGCAAGCACTCACCAGAGAGAGAGAGACAGAGAGGGAGGGAGCGCCCACACTGGGGCTGGAGCACATCTTGGCTGTGGCCGAGCTGTGTGCCTTTTGGCCGGTTATTTACCTCGTGCCTTGGTTTCAACAGGGGTGAACCGAGGACCGTAATGCCCCAGCTTTGTGATGAAGTGAGCCGCTCAGCGGAAAGCCCAGCTCGAGGCCTGGGTCACCCAGGCACGTGTGTGAGCCATTACCCGGAGACCGCTGAGGCCTCCCCCGCTCCTGCCCTGGCCCACCTGCCTTCTGCCCTCACACCTGTTCCCACATCCTTTCTTCCATCACACACCTCCCACGTTGCCACACCTCCCACGGCCGCCACACCTCCCAGGGCCGCCTCACCTCCCACGGCCGCCTCACCTCCCACGGCAGCCTCACTTCCCATGGCTCTTGAGTCTCTACAGCTCCCCCACCTCCCAGGGCTCCCCCACTTCCCATGGCTCATGGGCCTCCCTGCTGCCCTGCAGGGGCCCGGATTTCCCCCTGCAGCCCAGGTTGCCCACCCCTGAGTTAGCAAAGGCAGTTCCCGCCTCCTGGGAGGCTGTGCCGTTCCTGCCAGAGGCCCTGTGTCCAGACTCAGACATCCCAGCGTCTCCCCAGGGCCCCCCACTCCCCGGCTCCCCCAGCTCAGTGTTCTTCCTTAGTCTTGCTCCTGCCTCAGCTCCCCGTCACTGGGGCAGACTCGGGGTTATCCGTGCCAATTCCCCTGGGACCTCTCGGTCCCCAGCCCATCCCTCCCGCCCCTCCATCCTCATGGTCTCCACCCTGGCTCAGGCCTCCTCTCTCCTGGTCTCCTTCCGGTTCACAGTCCACAGGGGGCTGCATGCACCTAGGCTGCCCCTGCTTCTCCACTGCTCTCGGCCCTCCATGGCTCCCTACTGCCCCCCCTCCCCCCAGTCCCAGGCCCTACAGCGTAAAGGACTCACCAAGATAAGGCCCCAGCCGGGTCAGCGCTCCACAAGCGGTATGTCCTGGGGACTGGAGGTGGGAGGCACCTGGGGCCCCCGCAGGGTCAGCCTTGGGCCCCAATGCCTCCCACCCCCTGCTGGGTCACCTGCTCCCTGGGGCCCTGCGGGTCACCTCCCTGGGGCCCTGCTCCCTGGGGCCCCCCTCCCTGGTCACCTGCTCCACGGCCCTCCCCTGCTGGCTCACCTGCTCCCTGGGACGGGTTGTCCGCCACCTCGTCCTCCGCCAGTGTAGGCCCCAGGCGACAGCTGGCAGCAGGAGGGCTGGGGGCAGCAGCCAGAGGAGCGGCAGTGGGGGGGACTGAGGCTGAGGCGCTGGCACAGCAGTGGCCCCCAGGGCCCTGGGACTCCCTGGGGGCAGCGGGGTGGAGGGGTCTGGGGAGAGAGAGGAGCCTGGGTGACCAAGAAGGGCCAGGCCAGGGAGGGAGAGAACGACCTGCCTGACACTGGCTGTGTGGCCTCAGGCAGGCCGCCGGCCTCTCTGCGCCTCAATTCCCGCATCTGTGAAACGGGGACAGTTATATCACCTCACAGGTGGCCACACTAAATGAGCGACTATGTGGGAAGTGCTTAGCACGGTGCCCGGCACGTAAGGCTGTATCTCTGGGGCTAACAGATGGCATAGCGGTTATGTCCCTGGACCCCACATGGCCAAGGTTAGATCCCTGGCCTCTGTGGCTTGAAACTCACGCCAGGCATATGTGTGTGTGTCCAAGATCCCAGGAGGAGAATGGAGAAGGGACTGCAGCATGCCCCCCCCAAAGTGATTTCTCTTTCTCTCCCGTTGTCTCTGTCTCTTTCTTCAGCGAGTGCACACACCCTAAGGCAAAAAACTTTAAAAAACAAACAAAAAATTTTCGTTTCCTTTTCTTTCTTCTTTTGAGAGATTTTTGATACAAGGTGCATGTACTTGCTGGAGAGAGAGAGACAGAAAGCAAGAAGTCACTCCCCGGGGAGATGGTCACGCCACAATCCCTTCTCCTCCATTCTCCTCGTGGGATTTTGGGCACACACACACACACACACACACACACACCTTGTGTAAGTTTTAAGCCACCGGGTCCAGGACTCGAACCATGTTCGACTACGTGAGTGTCCAGCAACATAACCATTATGCCATCTGCTGGTCCCTGTACTTTCTTTTATCACCAAATAGATTTTTTTTAGGTTTATACCATAGTGCATGTGTGCTCATCAGAGAGAGACAGGGGGGAAAGTGAGAAACCCTCCCTCAGGGGGAATGACCACACTATGATCCCTTCTTCATTGTCCTCTTGGGATCTGGGGCATGCCATAGGGTCCAAGACTTGAATTGTGATTGGCCATGTGTGACTCCAGCACCTTAACCACCATGCCACCTGCTGGACTTCTAGGGTTATTACTATTTTTAAAGAATTATTTATTTATTTTAATTTATTATTATTATTATTATTGTTATTATTATTTTAAATTGCTATAGGGCACATGTGCTCATCAGAAAGAGACAAAGAGAGAAAGAAAGTGAGAAAGCAAACTGTCAGGTCTGGGACTCGAACCGCAGTCAGCCATGGGAGAGCACCCCAACCACCACGCCGCCTGCCAGCGCCCCTAGGGTTATTTTTTATTATTATTATTATTTTTAGGTTTTTGCCATAGGGTGGGTCGCTTGCGACAGAGAGAGAGAGAGGGAAATTGAAAAATCACCCCCAGGGGGATGGCCACACACAGTCCCTTCTCCTCTATTCTTCTCTTGGGATTTTGGTAATGTATGCACATGTGCCTATTGTGATTTTCAGACTGCAGGTTGAGGACTCGAACCATGGTCAGCCTTGTGGGAATCTATCTAATGCCTTAACCATTATGCCACCTGGTGATCCCATCGGTTATGTTTGTTTTTTAATTGCTACGGGGGTGGGGGGGACCAGCAGTTAGTGTAATGGCTATGTCACTGGACTCCCATGTAGTCAACCGCGGTTCGTGTCCCGGACCCAGTGGCTTAAAACTCAAGTCGGGCATGTGTGCGTGTGTGCCCAAGATCGCATGGAGGAGAGGGGATTGCGGCGTGGCCATCCCCCCTAGGGGGTGGTTTCTTACTTTCTGTCTCTCTGTCTCTCTCAGTCTGTCTAGCAAGCGCACGTGCCCTATAGCAAAAACCTCTCCAAAAAAAAAAAAAAAAAATTTGCTACAGGGTCCATGAACTTGCCAAAGAAAGACAGAGAGGGAGTAAGGAGGGAAACCACCTCACAAGGGGGTGTGGTCACACCGCAGTCCCTTCTCCATTTCTCCATTTCTCTGTTGGGATTTGAAGTTTTCAAGCTGCCAGGTCTGGGAATTGAACTTCATGGCGAACATGTGGGATCTGGCTCTCTTAACTAGGCCATGGAGGCTGGCCCACTAGTGGTTAAGTATCTGTGCTCTGCTCCCAGCCATCTGTGAGCTCCATCTGGGCAGTGGGAACCTCATCGGCCTGGCTTATCTCCAGGACCTGCTATTTAGTGCTCATGAAATACCTGGGTGTGGGGCTGGCAGGTGGCATGATGGTTAAGGGTGCTGGACTCCCATGTGGCCAACCATGGTTCAAGTCCCAGACCTGGTGGCTTGGTTTCTCACTTTTTCTCTCTCTCTGTTCCCCTCTGGTGAAATTAAAAATAAATAAATAAAGCTAAATAAAATAATTCTTTTCTTTAAACAAAGAAATACTGGGACCAGCAGGTGGCGTGGTGGTTAAGGCGCTGGACATTCCCACATGGCTGACCACGGATCAAGTACCGGACCTGGCAGCTTGCTTTCTCTCTTTCCTCTCTCTCTCTGTGTCTCTCTCTCTCTGATCAAATTAAAATAAATTAATGAATAAATACAATTAAATAAAAACTAATTCTTTAAAAAAGAGAAATACTTGGGTGAATGAGTGGGCAGATAATAAAACCGTAAAAGGTACTTATGACACTGTAAGGGCCACGAGGCCCTGTGCAGTCTGACCTGGGTCAGTTCCCTGGGCCCTTGACTCCCACCTTCTCCCCTCGCTCACACCCTTGGCTGCAAACATAGCGCTCCCTTGATGTCTCTGAAAGGCAAAGGCAAGTTTCTTTGCACCGTCCTGTGAGTCTACCATTATAACCAAATAAAAAAAAAGTTTTAAGAGTTATTTATGGTGGGGACCAGCAGATGGCGTGGTGGTTAAGGTGCTGAACACTCCCACATGGCCAACAACAGTTCGAGTCCCAGACCTGGTGACTTGCTTTCTCATTTTCCCCCTCTCTCTGTGTTTCTCTCTGGTCAAATTAAAATAAATGAAAGAATAAAAATTAAATAACCAGTTATTTTTTTAAAAAAAGAGTTATTTATAGGACCAGCAGTTGGAGTAATGACTATGTTGCTGGACTCCCATGTAGTGGACCGCAGTTTGAGTCCCGGACCTGGTGGCTTAAACTCACGCCAGGCGCATGTGTATGCGTGCCCAAGATCCTGAGAGGAGAATGGATTATGGTGTGGCCATCCCCCCTGGGGGGTGATTTCTCGCTTTCTGTCTCTGTCTTTCTGGTGAGCTCATGTACCCTATAGCAAAAACCTCTCAAAAAAAAAAAAGAGTTATTTACTGAACTTTATTATTATAACTGCTTTTTAATTTGCTATAGGGCACGTGTGCTCACGAGAGAGAGAGAGAGAGAGAGAGATAGAGAGAGACAGTGGGGGGGTGCAAGGAAATAAGCTTCCAGGTCTGGGACTTGGACTGCAATTGGTCAGGTGGGGGTCCAGCACCTTGAACACCATGCCAACTATTGGCCCCACTAAAAAAAAATTGTTTAAGTAAGACAACTGGGGCCAGCAGGTGGTGTGGAGGTTAAGGCGCTGATCTCACACGGCTGACTTTGCAGTTAGAGTCCCGGTCCTGGCAGCTTGGAAAACACACTGGGTGCATGTGCGTGCATGTCAAACTCCCAAGACGAGAACAGAGAAGGGACTGCGGGGCAGCCGTCCCCAGGGGGAGATGTCTCACTTTACTCTGTCGCTGTCCAGCAAGCACACAAGCTCTACAGCAGAATCACTAAACAAGGCAGGAGCAGGAGCATTGCCAGCCCCAGGAGATGGAGAGGGAGGAATCAGGACTGCGGCGACCACGCCCACTGGGGGTGCTTTCTCCTCTCTCCGCCCCTCTCTGGCAAGTGCAGGTGCCCTCCGACAACTCACAAAGACCCTAGGAAGAGGCTGAATGGTGACTTCAAGGCTGAGTCACATGGGAGGGTCCCCACACAAACCCATGTCCATGGTCCGGGGTCAGCTGAGGCTGGGGGTGGATGATGGTCTCAAGACCCTGTTGGGGGATCTGGCCCTTTAGCTCAGTGGTTAAGCCCTGTGCATTGGGAGCCTGATCCCACATGGCCGACTGCAGTTGAACTCACAGCCCTGGCAGCTGGAAAAACAAGGCGGGTATGTGTGTGTGCGTGCCCCAAATCCTGACAGGATGAAAAAATGGAGGAAAAAGTACTGTGGCACGACCAAGCCTGTGGGGTGCCTTCTCTTTCTCTCTCCAGCAAGCAAATGTATCCTCTGGCACTCTGTAAATAAATAAATAGAAAATGACTTTATTTAAAAAAAATAAAAAGAAAGAAAAATGGACCAGTAGGTGGCGTAGTGGTTAAGGCACTGGACTCCCACGTGGCTGAAGGCAGTTCAAGTCCCAGACCCAGCAGCCTGAAACTCACGCCTGGTGTGTGTGCATGGTCAAAATGTCAAGACAAGAATGGAGGAGGAGGGATTGCGGCGTGGCCATTGCCCCGGGGGTGACTTCTCATTTCCCTCTCACTGTGTCTGTCTGTCCCCTACGTGCCTGCTCCCTCTGGTTGAAATCTTACACAAACCAAGACTTTGTTGGAGGCGCTCCTTCTCTTGCTTATGGGAGAAAAATAAGCTTCCAAAAATTCTTGGAAATAAAATCAATCCAACTATTTTGGTTTCTGGTTTGTTGGTTTGTTTTTGGTGGGGTGTGAGTGCTTAAGGGCAGAGTGGGGTCGGGTTGGGTGAGCACTCTCCAGGGGAAACGCTTCCACCTCAGTCCCTTCTCCATTCTCCTCTCTGGGTTTTGGGCACGCATGCACGCTCACCCAGGTGTTTGTCAAGACTCTGGTTGGGGACGCGAACCAGGCAGCCATGTAGGATCCACCGGCCTTAGCCACCTCCCCACCTGCCTGGCCTTCTTTTCTGGTTGTGAACTGGGTTACTAGGAAGTCACCTTACACACGAGGCTCGCATGCTGCTTCTGTCGGACAGGGCTGTCTTCCAGAACCTGCGGGAGTTACTATTGCCTTCTGAAAGCCGGGCAGGCTGACGCCCAGAGGGACCCGCAGCCAGGCCGGAGCAGGGTGGGCTGGGAGGGCGGGGGAGCTGGGCGGGCCTTTACCCGGCTGACACCGCAGCTCCAGGCACCGAGAGAAATTGCGGCGGGTGATCCTGGGCTTCAGAGCCAGCAGCTGCGCCGAGGTGTCCTGCAGGAGGTCGGAGATGTTGGTCTGGACGAAGCGGAGACAGCTGGGGAGGGGCTGGGGGCAGGGAGGGAGCCGTCACTACCCGGTCACCCGGCGGCTCCTCGGGCCAAGGGCTCTCCGGGGGCCACGCCCTGCTCCCGCCCAGCTACGGCTCGGGTTGCAGCGCAGAGTAGCCCTTAGCAGGGCCCGGTGTCTGCGCCTGAGATACCGCCCACACCTGGTCGGGACGCCTGGCCCTCCTGTGGTGTCTCGGGACTGTCACTGCCCCGTGTCCGCCAGACCCGGCTCCCGCCCGCTTCCTAGGGTTGCTACCGAGAAGCTGCTCCAGGACGGCCTGGCGGCGCTGTGCTTCCAGTCCCCGGGAAGCACGTCGCACCCTCATTTGTCCCCCAGGCCAAGGCTGACCTGGAAGTCACAAGAGGTGACAAAGTGGATCTCCGTGTTGACCTTCTCCAGCAGGTCTTGAATCTGGGGGCCAGCCACAGTCTTGAGCCGCTCCATCCAGCGCTGGGCCAGCACCAGCCGCCAGAGCGCCCCGCAGAGCTCCTCCTGGGGAGACCAAGCGCGCTGGAGCCGGGGCGGGCCGGTCCCGGGCTGCAGTGGGCGAGGCCCGGGCTGGTCCCGGGTTTGAGGGACATCGGGCGGCCCCTGGAGGGGAGGCTGTGGGTCCCACCTCCACCCTCCATCCGCCACTCACATCCTGCAGGTTGGAGGCCATGGTGACCGGGTAATCGAGAAGCAGGTAGTCCGACTGCGGGAGAGAACCGAGACACTGGGCCGGGGACCCGGAAACCCGAGAGCCAGAGAAGGGGGACAGGGCATCCAGCCCAGAACCGTGGCCGCCCAACGGGACCGCGGCTGCGGCTCAGAGGCAGGGAGGCTCACCAGCTGGTCGATCCTGTCGGCGAAGGTGGAGGCGATGGGGCTGTGCGGGAAGGAGCAGCCCGGGGTCCCCCGCAGGGCGGCGCTCAGCAGCAGCAGCAGCAGCAGTGGGGTCTGCAGGGACGCGGGGCGCTGGGGCAGGCCTCCGCGCACACCGCCCTCCGCCCTCCCAGGTCCCGATCGGTCTCCGCGGGGCTGTCCCCGGCCGGCTCCTGAGTCCCCTTCTCTGACACCTCCCCACCGCCTCTGCTCTGGGACTGGCCAGAGGTTGCCCTCTGCCCCTCGCCGTCCCATCCGCCCATCAGGCCGCCAGGTGCCAACACCATCCCTGCCACCCCCAGGCTCTGCTCCACTCTGCCCCTCCTCCGCCCTCTGTGCTCCCTCATTAGGGTCCTGCCCTTCACCCATCCCCAGTCCTGGCCAGCCCTCTGCCACCTCCCCCAGTTCTGCCCACCTCCCCTCTGTCCTTCTCCCTCCCCTCTGCCCACCTCCCTGCTCTGTCCATCTCCTTCCCCTCTGCCCACCTCCCTGCTCTGTCCTCCCCCCCCTCTGCCCACCTCCCCTCTGTCCATCTCCTTCCCCTCTGCCCACCTCCCTGCTCTGTCCTCCCTCTCCTCTGTCCACCTCCCCTCTGTCCATCTCCTTCCCCTCTGCCCACCTCCCTGCTCTATCCTTCTCCTTCCCCTCTGCCTACTTCCCTTCTGTCCATCTCCCCCGTCCACCTCCCCCCTACATCTCCCTCTGTTCGTCTGACCCTGTCCATTGCCCCTTGTCCATCTCCCCCAGTCTATCTCCTCCCCCTGTCCGTCTCCCCACATTCATTTCCCCACTTCCCGTCCATCTCCCCCAATCCATCTCCCTCCTCTCCATCTCGCCCCATCCCTTCCTCCCTCTCCCTTCCCTCCATCTCCCCATGTCCATCTCCCCATGTCCATCTCTCTTTGTCCACCTCCCCATGTCCCTCTCCCCACGTCCATC